GCATTTTTCTTAAAAAGACAGTTAAATATATGCAATGCATATGACATTAATTTGTTACCCATTTATTTGTTACATATTTATATTTCGTGGAGTATACTCTTGATCTTACTTAACTGTTAAAGTGTATACATTGCGTTTAAAAATTCGTGCGCTTCCAGAGCGAACGGTGATATTATTATCGAAGCACGTGAAGCGAATAAATAACCGGAGATTTACGTAACATCGAAACGAACGGAGAAAGAAAGAGAAGTTTATAAGCTCTCGAAGAGAGTAAAAACTCAATGATTACGTGAAAACTTTTTATAGTTAAGTCAATATATTACAACTTAAATTTAAATCGTGATAGGAATTTACCGGAAAACCCGTGAGAATTTTCAGAGCGTGTTCACGTTACGGTAACGTCTTGGTAACTTGGTGATGAGACAATTCAGACTTGACGTATCGAGCATCAATAACGTTCTCAGAACGGTAACTTTAGTAACAAGCTTTCGAGAGAAAGGATGACATTTTTCCTACATTGTAGATGTCACAAGTATACTTCTGAAATATTGAATTTGCGAAGCAAACAGGATAGAAATTTTTCAAAGATATTGAAGGCGACAATTTCCCTCACTCTTACTTAAGTTATAAATTATATGATAATATATAATCTTGATTTCTATTTAAAAATATAAACTAATTCTTATATAACAAAGTCACAAAAATTAAAAGATAAATTAATTCTTTTTCAGAACTTTAAGGAGGACAATAATAGCTGAATTAAATTTATGAACTATGGATATATATATATTTTAATTTTGATAAAGATTTAAATTATGAGTTCATGATTAGAATAAAAAAAAAGTGATAGAGATAAGTAAGATAAGTAAGAAGGAATATTGATATCAAAGAATTGTTGAACAATTATTTTTTTTAAATTGGTAAATAGAATTGAAATATGTAGAAGTTAGTAAGATTGGCTACAATTAAGTTAACGAGAAATTATGACGTGAATCATCCTACTATCTTGAAACAGAATTTTATTATCGATCCTATATGATTAACTCTTGATAGAGTTACTCGATGAACGGCTGCACAGTTTTAACGGCTGTGAGACATGCTACGAAAATGTATTTAGCGTCAGTAATTTCTGTGATTAATAGCAATCAAACATCAATAATAATAGCATTTTGGTTTGCTACAAGTTTAGAAATTCACTGGTCCGTTCCAAAATTGGCCTAACTTCCGCTAATTAGTTTTATTTCGGGGCATCTACCAATTTGTAATGTCCGTCCATGTAGTGGATAAACTACACTTATGGCTATTAAATATGGACCAAGAGGATTTATGAGCTTCTACTTAGCATATATTTAGTACTATGTAATTTTATAAACAAATAAATGTAAAAAAAATTAACGATATTTGAAGGAAAAAAAATATAGAAAATATAGAAAAAGAAATTGTACAAAATGATTCTGTTTAATATTATATAGCATTAGACTAAAATTATGCATCACAAACAAAAGATAAATTTCTTCTCAATATTTTTCTGTTTAATTATGTTATTTGAAGATTAAAAAATATATCTAGTTTCAATCATTGGAAAATTTCCTATTCGCTTTAATTTAATACTTACATCAATTTTCTAGGTTCTGTAATAGAACTAGTTTTCTCTGAATTGAATCAAATTTATTGACTGATAAATTTATTCTGCTACATTGCACACGCGTTGTAATATAGTAGATTATCGCTGATTTTCTTCCCTCGTACCTGTTGATTTAGAAATATTGAAATGGATAATGTCGAATTGTACGCGAGATCTCATAAGGCGTTTTAAGAAATGAATGATATTTTTTCGAGTAATATTATTAAAGTTGACAAGTATGAAATATTAAATTACTTTTCTAAAAAAGATGAAAAACGCCACTTTTACGTAGAATCATATACGAATAAATCAATATTGCAATTATATGATCTCCTTCAAATCCTATAACTTTTATATAAAATACTTTTCTTTAAAATGCATTGTTTAAAAGATATTAAAATACATTATTTAATAAAATAGGATGCCCTGAAGAATTGTATTAAAAAAAAAAAAATATGTTTTACTAATATAAAATTACATAATTACTTTTAAAAAAAGTACGTACCTTTTTTACATCACATTAATCTTCTTAACATTTCTAAAAAATGCATTTATCACTTTTAAAATTAGGAATAGCAGAATTAGGAGAGAGTAAGTGTTCTTTTAAAAATATTTTATATCCTTTTGCTACTCACGATTTGCGAATCCGATACACTTTCTGCTCTTGACTCATTCAAACATTTTCACAAGAATAAGCGTTAACTGCCGATGAGGTTTTAATAATTATTTAATTAGAGAAGACAGGAGTCGATCGATGACACGCCGACCTTTCCAACAGTCGGTCGATGGCGGTGGCATGGAAGTTATTTAGAACTTCGTAAATGTAAATTAACGAGCAACGAAGTTAGCTGGCGCGGCACACTTCGACGCCGAAGTACCGATTTCCCACGGGAAGTAATAATTGCACGATTAAATCTTTTGGGACAGATACGACATGCCGACCGATTTAATCCGATTAACGACGAGAACTATTACAGCTTCCAGCTACTCTTATATTTGCAATTCATTTTATTTTCCACCGTTGAGTTATACCGGGGGTTTGGATTATATGGGGACTTTACGAATCGGCATGAATGGAAATACGAAGCTTGCTGTTGCTGTTGCAGCAAATAGATTTATTCGCGAACTCGCTTATTGTTAGCTATTGGAAATCGCACCTTTATTCTTTCTATTTCGTTGTAACGATGTTACTTATGTTGGAAATACTGAACACCGCGTAGTATCAGAACAGAGAAAGAATATATTCTTCTACTTCGTTTTTTATTTTCAGAATTTCAAGACCGCTCAGTTTCTCAGCTGATATATGCCGCGTGCTATCGTTCCCTTTTGTTAGAAAAATGTAATTATAGTAACGTAATGAACATAGACTAACAATTTTCCTCACGGGACTTTAATGAATAAATTTTTCGCGGTTTTGTCCAGAGAAAAAGATAGTCAAGGGAAAGTGTGTATACGCTTTAATTAAACTTGGACGGAAATAATAGGAGAAACAACGGGCACAGAATGTTCTCTTGAGGAAATTTCTCGACTCTTAATACAAGGATTAGATGCATTTCGTCACGAGCGTAAAATTTAATACCATCCCGAGATAATGTTATCAGTTTTCTAAAAGATTCTTTTGGGAGTGTTACATATATAAAACAACAACGGGGTAGATTCATTACAACGTAATTATTCGAGATCAAAGAACAATGTTTCGTTATAATTATAACGTAAAGGACTAATATAAATATAATCGTCACTTGAAATATCTGTTTAAAAGTTAACAATCGAATATCGAGCTGATTATTTGCAATATGAAGTTATTTAATTTATTACTCGACTGAATTTTTTTATCTATTTTTATCGATGTAGATTAGAACTTTAATCTTTTTTAAATTTACTTTTTACCTTTTTTTAAATTAGAAAAACATAAAGAATAAATTAAATCGAAAATCAAACTGCAATAATAGAAATGGACATCAGGTGTTTACGTAAAATACAGTTTTGATTAGTTGTTTCAAAATGGAAATGGATAATGTTATTGTAATAACCATTGCATAACCATTTCTTACCAATACATTTTCCATGAAATGTTATTTCCAATGCCAAGTTACAAGCTGCATAAGTGCAATCTATTTCAATCAACTTAATATATATATATATATATATATATATATATATATATATTCTGTTCCTACATATATTCTGTTGCAACACATTTTTAATATATAATATTCAAAATGAGTTTTCATTTGAATTTGGAAAATTAATATGTATAAAAATGTTAATCTATTGAAGTTTAAAATATTAATTTGAAAATATATAATTTATGGTTTTTATTTACTTCGTCAGATCTGCGATTTTTACAATTCTTTTCATTGGCAGAGAATGATCTTGAGATAATTATCAAAAATGTTGTGCAAATGTTGCGAAATTATATTTTGCTTTAAAATTTCAATTTTATGTTATTGCTATTATTTGATTTATGATCTTGATTATTCGATTTATTACTAGTAACTTTTACGCTTTTACGTTTTATCGGAAAGCGATTATCGAAATTTCGTCTCGTTAAAATAAACAACGTTATAGATATTGCGTGTAAATTAATGGACAAACGCAAACGTGTCACTGTGTAGAAAGCAGAGTTTTATTTGTCATAATACATCGCATTACATTCACAGAGTGTTAAATCGGGTTTATATATTCGCGTTCGAAGCCGATTCAGCAACACTCGCGGTTTCCACGGAAGCGCGGAAGCCGCGGGCGGCTCTTTTCGCGCAAGAATTTTCAATCGACTTCGCTGTTTGCCGAACGAGCGGAGAGATAAAAAACACGAGAATCGATGCCGCGGCCGGACTATCCGCACACGGGCTCACGAGTGTCCGTCCCGTCGATAATCGATATACATCTCAGCGACAGTTCATTTCACCCGGGAACATTCTGAAAATGAAAATCCTTCGATTACAACGAAGCCCCCGGCAGTAGTGCGGATACGAGCGCCCGCGATTTTCGTTCTGTGTCTCTTCCCCTTTCTCCTGTCCCTCGCCGGCGTCGATCGCATTTGCAATTCTTTGCACACCGCTCATTTTGTACCTGAGGCACGAAAAGTAATTCCTTTTGCCGGCGTCCCCTCAAGATTACTCGCCATTGGATCCCATCGGATCGCTCGCGAGCAATCTTCTGTACGAATATATTATGAAATCCCCCTTTTCCCAACACATTATTCGTTTCACGCGCTTATACACACACACACACACACACACACACACACACACACACACACACACTACGTATA